ATTTGATCATGGTGTATGACATGTCTTGACAGAAAAATGGTTTTGGTATTTAGGTCCAACAATACAACTTCTTTAACATTTGACTTATAACCTAAGAAAACACGTTTTCTTGCTCTAGGGTAAAGTTTTGCTTTATGCCTTTTAATATTTGTTGCATAACATAATGACAAAATACTTTCAATTCATTCAAGTCAGGGTTTAATCCAAATCTAAGGTAAAATGGTTATTTATTTTAAAGAGTAACAATATGAATACAATTTATGAGATATGTAGCATGCATGATAGCATATGACCAAAAGTGTTTCTATATTTTTGACTAAAACAATCAGGCTCGACCTACATTCAATATGTGTTAGTACTTTCTCTTAATCCTCCCATTTTTTTAGGGGGGGGGGGGTTTCAACACAACTAGTTTGGTGTTCAATGCCTTCGGAAGCATATAATTTATGTTGTTTTTCAATCATTAAAATGAACCTCTGAAAAAGGATATTAACTTAGAATTAGATTGACAAATGATAATCCAATTAAATTGACTATGAGATGCAGTAATGAAATACTTTTGACCATGAATTAATGGAATAGACAAAGGGCCCCATTTAACATTGCATAGTTGTGTGATTACTAAGCTGAAAAGCAAGTTTCTTATGCTTTGCATAGTGACAAATGTCACATGCAACATTTTTATCTATGTATATGAAAGGAAAATCATAATGTAAAGTAAGTAATCTTTTGTTGGGAAGGTGTCCTAATCTGAAATGCCATATGATCTATTTGAAAATAGAAACGATGTTAGGTTGAGCTTGTGTGTGGGATGATGCTGTGGCGGATTAAGATGTACCTTGTACAAAAAGAAAGTACATTCCCTATATCAAATCAGCTGAATCAGTCATCCTTAGGCTCTTCTTTTCCTGAATTAAAATCGAGTTCTTCCTAAAGAACTTTTAAAGCTGTGTAAAATTCTATAACTAGACGAGAATGTTTCTTCAAATTGAAAATTTTGCATTGTAATTTAGAAATTGCGAATATATCATCTTGTGAGAAGCGTTCTTTGAGTTCATTCTACACGTCGACGAAATTCTCAAGAAAAACAATGCTTTGAGCAATTGATTCTTCAATTGAGTTCATATTACACAAATTAACTAACATGTTGCATCGATTCCAAGCTTTGAAACTTGGATCAAACTCAACTGGAATTCGTGTTTATAACGAGTCCGACTCTTATGTAAAGTAGTGATCGGGATAGATGAACCATTGATTCGTATTCCTTAAGGTGGGTTAGAGTCCCATGGATGATCAAAATTCACAGTGTAATAGACAAATTATTTTGCAAAGATCTGTGATCTGTGTCCATAGTCCTAGACGTGGGATCAGTCGGGGAAAGATGTTTTGTTGTTGCATTCTCGAATAGTGATTTATTAAGTTATGCGAACTCAAGTTTATATGTTTTCATACGAAGCAGAAAAATCCCTTAAATACTTAAGCTTGTGTTCTATTGTGTAAATGTATACAAGTAGGATGAAGTTGAATGACTTAAGTTAGAATATTGTTTATTAACCTGTTAGAGTCGAGTGTACCCATAAAATAGGAGAACCCACTGAGATTATGATCTCACCTCATTATATTGTTGAATTTCAGGTAATTCTGAGCAGGTCAAAGAAAAAAAGCAAGGTTGTATGAAGAAGTTCGAAGATCTTCTGATGTTTCATAATTGCTTCCGTTGTGCGTGTGTGTGTGTGTATATATATATATATATATATATATATATATATATATATATATATATATATATATATCACTCTTGTATATTATGTGCCATATGTTTAACATTATCTTTTTGGACATATATATATATATATATATATATATATATATATATATATATATATATATATATATATATATATATATATATATATATATATATATATATATATATATATATATATATATATATATATATATATATATATATATATATATATATATATATATATATATATATATATATATATATATATATATATATATATATATATATATATGAATGACGTTGTTAGGCACTTATGTTGTGTCAGTATCAATTAACACTATGTTTATTGTTATTTAAATGTATATTATACGTGAGTGTTACATCTTACCCATGCATGATAGTTGGAATGTGTGAGAATTGGTGTAACCAAATCTGATGAAAGACTATCTCAAGAATATACATAGTAGATTGCTGGGAAGAATTTTGAACTGGAGCCACCGATGCTGCAGCATTATTGCCGCCGTTGATGACAACGTTTGCACCACACACCATGATGTATGTTGAAAATTAAATAGAAAGAGAGACCGATGTGTAGTAGAGCTCAAAAGAGCTTTGATACCTTCATAAAGTTTTGAATGAACATGATGAAAGTGAAGAAAGAATGAGAGTTCAATGAAAAAGAAGAGAGTAAAAGTGAACAATTTTCTCATTAAATCTACTTTGTGAGTTAGTTCACTTGATATTTATACAATTGCTAAATTATACAACTGACCTTAACCTTCTAACCGACTAACTAACTTCACATGGTCATAATACTCTACATGAGGTACACCTCAACAATGGTGGAATTACAATTACTTGACCTCTAAGCTATTGTTTTATTAACAACCTTAACAATAATTAAAAAATAAAAATATAATAACTAGAATTAATAGCTTTTAGCCAATTTCAATATTTTCTTCTTATTTTTGGCTATGCGAGTATATATTTTCCTCATTGACTTCCTACCTGAGCGTATGCCCTGCCCTCATTGTTTGAGCTGATAACTCATTTTTGTTGTTTATTCAATTCAATTCAACTTCTACCTTATTCTTATTCTCATTTGCCTTCACTTTCATAAAACTATGCATCAATTATCTGTCCCCCAAAAAATATATTCTCATAAACTATAACAAAACTTTTATATATACCTTCCTCAACACCGTCATTATCACTTCAATCATTATCTTCATAATCATCCATTTTAATATTAGTTACTTGTCCTTGTTGCCTTTTACATTATATTATATACTACAAACCATTGAATATAGTTTGTTCCTCACACAATTATATGAAAAACTTATGAACCTTGTTTAATTAACTACTAGTAATTAATAAATATATTAATATATTTTGCTAGGGAATCAAATTTGGGATTGCATTGCTACCACCCTATCATGTCTCTTGGGATTTTTGTTCTTTTCATATGCAGTGATCATTGTAGGGACCCATGACATAGACCCAATAATTTGCTTCACATGCATGGATATTATTTTAAACATAACATACCATCACTATCTCCAAAATAAATTATAAATATTTTAATATCAGGAACATTAAGCTTGCAAAAATTAAATAATTGAGAAGACTAATTGAAAATATGTGTGTGCACATGGATAATCAAGGAGCAAAAAAATTAAAGATGATGTTTTTTGTCTTTACTTATGAATTTGCAAATCCTAATATTTTTGCTAATTATAATATGGACTTATGCTATGCTTTTTTTCCCCTATAGTAATGTAGTTTTGTAACTAGGTTTTGTTTGGTAACTGGATAAATGTTAAATTGAATCTCTGTCATGCCTTGAATCTGTTTGACTAAATGCCAAACAGAAAACTGCACCATAATATTTTTATTTCTTTGAAACTAGTTTTATCTCTTCAAAGTCTTTTTTTTTTTTTATTGTTTACCTTCCTATAGATACTAAGTTTCTACCATCATTTTTTTTGACTAATGACCATATTGGACACAAATTCTCTTTTCTTTTAACCAATATTTAATTGATATATGTATACAAACACATATCGGACATGTCATTGACACATTGATATTAGTAATTATTAAAAAAAATGAATAAATTAAACATTATTACTAATATCAATATAGATTATTTTTCAAAGATGTTTTTGCTACGAATAACAAAAATGAAGGTAGTTGACTTGACTCCGATGTTTGTCCTTGGTTATTCATGTCATGTCTCTTTATTTATCTAGCAACTTTCCCTTTCAGCATCAGTACGTGTAAGGGACCCGTTATCTGATGCAACGTTGAAGGCTTTTAGAGGTATAGTCCCACACTATAAGGCCATTCATACATAACCCTTTTGTTTCTATTTGAATTGGTACAATTGTACAATATCTGTCATTTCCCTATACATTACATTAAAATATTACTCTTTTTAATACTCATCATCATCATCATGTTTCCACTATGCCAACCCTTTTGCAGTGATAGTAAAATATTTTCATATAAAATTGAAATCATAAGACTTTGTGTCCGTACAACAACTTTACTCAAGGAAATATATGAATGAGTTTGTTTTTGTGGCCTTTATTGAACTGAACTGATTTTCATACCTATATAGTCGGTGGTGTGTTCTGAGGACTATTTCAAACAAACATGTAAATCAAAGGAAGAAAAGTGATGTATTTATTTGTATGCTTACATTCTTGACTTCAATCACTGATCTCATGTTTTTTTCAAAAAAAGTGTCACCAATCTCTATCTTTGCAAGACAGTGACAGACACTAATTTAAGAAATATATACATGGTCCCTGCTGCACCTTTGATACTAAGAGAATGAAAAAATCATATGGATTCTAAATTTCAACCCTTAATAAGATAAATATAGAAAAAATGCACTCAACTATATATATACACACAAAATCACTTGATAGATAATTCACATTCATAATAATAATATCTGCAGAAGAATTTAGCAAGAGCCTTATTCTATAGTATTTCCTCTATGCTTGAGGTGAAAAAAATGGTTTGGGATAAGGTGGAATTGATCAATCTCAATTATTATACTGTTACATAATAATGCTGAATTTTTTTTTGTGGTATGAGACACATATACAATATGGAAGTTTTATCAAAAGGGAAATTTACAGCACACACCTGTGGTCAGAAAGATAAGAAACTTCTGACCTATATAGTTCATTCATATAGAAAATTATATATTCAAATCACGATCTTTGTCTCTTTCAGGCTACAGAGTTTGTCCGAAAGCCACTGAGAATCTCTGCAGGTCCTTGCTATATATATCAGAAAGTTGAAAGCCTGGTTGTTGTTGTTGCTGCTGCGGTTGGCATTGGTTCCAACTAGTACATGATTCATCAGTTATGAAACCTGTTTCTTGTTTAGCCTCGGGGTAGATAGATTGAGGAGGTTGATTCTGCATAAGAAACGGTGTGTTGAGATATTCAGACCATTTCATTTCTTCTTGTAACGGTAGAGTTCCGTTGTCGAGAAAGTTCGCGTTGGTTTTGCTTGCGTTGTTAATGCTGTTATAGTTACTTGCTTCCCAGTTATGAACTCCGTCGGAGGAAACGGAAACGGTTGGTTTTACTTGTGTTGGTGTTTGGAAAATGGAGGTTGTAACAGAATGGAGCATGTTGGAGTTTATAACAGAATTTGTATCTGACATCATTTGTGAAGAAGATGAAGTTGGTGTGAAACAAATAGATGCATTTGGATTCTCAGAAATTCCGATGTTTGATCCATAGTTCATGTTCTGGAAAGAAAAATATCCTGTGGTGTTGAACCTGTCTAGGAATAATTCATGGCTGCTGCTACCATTGTTAATCTTTGAGGACGTAGAAACTTCTAGAGGGTAACCATCTATAGAAGCTTTTGTAGGTTCCATTACCAAACTCATAACTTCGTTCGACGAAACCGAAGCTTTTTGATTGCTTTTGTTCGCTGTAAGTGCTTTTTCATTGTCGTTTTCAATCTCAGAAAGCGGTTTATGAGTGTTTGGATCAATGCCGCTTTGTCTCAACCTTTTCTTGAGACATGAATTCCATAGATTCTTAATCTCATTATCAGTTCTTCCTGGTAATTGTGCTGCAATCTGAGACCATCTGATATAAACAGCAACAATTCAAACACAAGATTAAAAACCGAAAAAAACTATATTATAAAAAAATAAAAAAGTACTTATGAAAAATAGTAATTATTATTGTTATTATAGTTTCTCAAATGAATTACAATAACCTGTTTCCAAGTACTGCATGAAGTTCAATGATCAAATTCTCTTCTTGTTGTGAGAATGCTCCTCTCTTCAAATCAGGTCTCAAGTAGTTTATCCATCTTAACCTGCAACTCTTCCCACACCTCTGCAAACCTATTCATTGTGCATGCTCAAATATATATATATCAAATGAAAAATGCATGAATCAAGTAATATTATATATATGTATATGTATATGTACCAGCTAGTTTCGGGACTGAACTCCAACATCCATGACCATGTTTGGTAATGTAATTCAAAAGCTTTTCATCTTCTTCTGGAGACCAAAGTCCTTTCCTTAACTTCTGCTTGTAGCAGCAAGAGTGTCTTCCCATGTGTACGTTTAAGTAAAATCTTATCTTCAAACACTCACAAACTTTGCTTTGGAAGAAACTCTTTTTTAAAGCTGTAAAGTTTTTTCTGTCCAAACAAAACCTACGTGGAAACTAGAGAGGAAAGTTTGGTGGGGTGAGGAGAAAGTGTTGAGAGAGAGAGAGCCTCTTAGAGAAGCAAGTTGAAAAAAATAAAATGGCACCTTGATAGGGAATCAAATAAATAGAAAGAGTCTTAGAGGAGAGAAAGTTGTACTCAAAAGGTTATTGGACAGTTCCATCTTTTAATATATATATATATATATATATATATATATATATATATATATATATATATATATATATATATATATATATATATATATATATATATATATATATATATATATATATATATATATATATATATATATATATATATATATATATATATATATATATATATATATATATATATATATATATATATATATATATATAACATACCCACGTATTAACACAAATATAAGATACTAGATATAATTTTAGTATTCAATCTTACGACTGATTAATGATCAATTCTATTATATATTTGCAAGATTTCATTTAAAATTATAGTAAAATTCTGTATGGACTTTACCAAACATAAGAATTGTTTACCATTCGAGAAATTAAAATCTAAAACTTCAAAAAAAAAAAAAAAACATAAGACTCAAACCTTCGTTATTAGGTTTATCGATAGGTTACTTGGTAAAATCTAAATCTACTCTATTCTATTAAAATTTAAAGAAATTGGTTATCTATATTTATATATGACTTTAGTCCATTCTTCACATGACAAATAATTAACTAATTAAATGGGACCCATCAATCATTATCGACGGTCTAGATCTACCTGTCTACATGCTATCAAAGAGTTGCATATAGGAGAGTATTAGAACTAAAACATAATGTTATATAACTAGTTTGACTTTTATGTATGTAATATTGTAATGTAATTGTAAATATATTATTAGTTACAAGTAGTGATGATCATTATTATATACCAAATTTTGTTAAGCAAAAGCTACAAATCTAGCTAGCAAAAGTTCTCACTTTTAACCTACCTTGGTTGTTATGTGCCATGCTGCTTAGAGTTGAGATTCTTCTATTGTGCATTTGAAAGTTATAATATGTGACGAGATGTCTCCATTCCCACATGATATAATAGAAAAAATGATCTATCTATGGAATTTGAAGGGGTGTGTTTTCTAGTCTAAACCTAATCTAAGAATAGTAATATGAATTAATATAAATTAACAAAAAGTTATGAGTTAGGAAAAATTCTCTTATGGAGAAGTAAATCCTAAGAGTGGCAATTATGCAAAACATAGTATACTGCATTAAATTGATGATAACAGAAACCTTAATTCTCTAGGTTCTTTTGTTCCCTTTGGTGATAATACTCAAACTTTTGAAAACTCTATCACCCTTTCCTTTTCTTGAATAACTTTCTATTTATTTTGGCTTTATTGAGATGATTTTTTATTTTTTTTGGAACAAATAATGGAAAATTGTTTTTGATACATGAGAAGGTTAAGGTCATATTTCTTGGGTTAGAAAATGCTTGAAGTTCAACTAACTATGTGAATGGTTCATTTTTTTGCAATTTGAAAATACTTTATCTTTTGAATTAAATGTGATTTTCTTCAATGTCAATTTTCTGACTTCATACAACTTCTTTGTGGTTGTGTGGAAAATACTAATGAAATTGTGTTTTCTTTAGGTAGGGTACTAAAATGAAAGTTAATAATAGAAATAAACAACTGTACTTTCATATACAAATGAGACAATCACAATAATGTATTTGTCCCTTGTTTATTTTTTGTAGCATGCATTTTTGCCTCACAAATGTACACGAAAACATGACAATTATGGATGGATGAATGAATGGTACAAAACTCTAGCCATACTCAAACTTTCAAAGAATCTCTCCCATTGAATCGTTAAATATTCTTCTAACCGAGATGAGAATATGTCAGACCTATTATCAGATATTATTATAATTTAAAAAATATTTATAACAAATTGCATTTAGACTCAAACCAATAAAATATATTTTAAACCAAACTTCGTTTTTTTTAAATCAGTTCGACAAGACATGTTTTCACCCCTAATAAGAAATTACTATGCAAGTGAAGAAAGATATGGTATATCTTATCACAAGAGAATGTTGTATGTGTCACTTCAAAAACACAACAGAATAGCAGACCAATTGACAATCATACATATCTGGCTAGGTTGTAGCTGATGTATAGACATACAAAAAATTTAAAATTACTACTATAGGTCAAAAGTTAAAATGTCTTGTGTTTGGAAAGATATAGGTTGTGGTTTTGGTCTATGTTAATTACTATGCATCATTTCACACTTCAATCACATATCACAAAACAAATAAATAAAACTTTTTTTTTTGTGTGTGTAGAAATTAAATTCAATATAAAGACTATATAGATATTAAAAACATGTTTTAGCTTTGAAAACATAGTAGGGAAGATAATTTAATTAAACTGATAAGATCAAATTTAAATGGCTACAATGTTAGCTAGCTATGGTATTATCATCATGAATGAAGGATTCCTTAAAATGTAAAAGGGAGAAAAGGATTAATTATTGTTTGCATAAACTACAATTCTTTAAACTTGGTTTTTCCCTCTCTCTTTAGTTGGATGGCCACTTGAATCCAAAAACTAACACAAAAAGAAAGCCATACAGTTATATCACTATATCAGGAACTGGCTAGTAATTAGCATGCATGTTTGAGGAAGGTAAGGTTATTTAATAGAAAATTGTTAAAGATTTATTAAAGTTTAATAAGTGTTATTTTGTCACAAGCTTATACAATTGTTTTTCATAGTTCATAACATTTTTTCATAAACTATTTAAAATGGTTTTTGATTCTCAGCTAAATGATAATCTATTTTAAATAGTTTTTGATTCTCAACAAAATAATATGACTTTTAAAAATCATAACATTTATTCAAATTGCTACAAACTTTTAGAATATTCTTAAATATAATGTGTATGAAAATGATAGAAGAGCCTAGAGCTATAATATGTATGAAAAAAAGTAGAAGAATCAAGAACTATAACTGTATGGAAATGATAGAAGTATCTAAAACTATCATACTAATATATCGTGAAACATCTAAAAAAACTAAAATAATGTATAAATATTAACCATTATTGAGAGATTGGTGACTTGAGACTATAAATAGACAATTGATACTTTGTAAACAATGTCATAACATCTTTCTAAACAATTTTCTAAAACTATCTCATATCATAAATCAATTATTCATTTATTAACACTGACATCAGAGCTACGTTCGTTCATACATTGGGTGTAGTTGTATTACCTACCTACTATTTTAAAATCCTCCAAACTACTTCAAAAAAGTGATTTTGAACTATTGAAGATGTAGGAGTTTGAGACAGTTAAACTTCAAGAAAGCGATAAGGTATGTGTCGTTAAACTTCTATCAATAAGAAGTGATTTTAAACTATTGAAGAAGAAGGAGTTTGAGACAGTTAAAAATTACTATTTTAAAATTAAAGAAATAATTAATCAAATGAGTGCTTTTGAGGAGGATATTCTTGACAAGAATTTTTTTGAAAAAATTCTAATTACTATGCCGCCAAAGTTTTACCCAACAGTGACAACGATTGAGGAAACCAAAGATTTATCCACTCTATCAGTGACAAAACTAGCGGACTCTCTTGAAGCATATGAGCAAAGACGACATAGACATAAAGAAGATACACTTGAAAATACCTTCCAGTCAAAGCTCAAGTTTCAGCCCCAAAATAAAAAAATGAAGGAAAGACAAATTATGGAGAAACTTCCAAAAGAAGAGAAGTTTCTAGAAATTTCATTAAGAACAAGTAAAATAAAAATCCTCCACGCAATATATGCAAAAGATTAGGCCACGCAGAGAAAAATTGTTGGCACCGTAATATTCCATAATGAAATCATTGCAAGAAGTTCGGGTGTGTAGAGAAAAGTTGTCGCAGCAAAAATATGCATCAAGCTAATATAGTATAGAAGCATGATAAAAAACAATGTATGTTCTATGCCACTCAATACTCATTCTAAGAAAAAGGAGGAAAGTGATACTTGGATATCAGATGCAACAATCACATGGCCAAGGATGATACTATTTTCAAAAGCATTGACAAGCCTGTCAAAGTTAAAGTTCAATTGGGAAATGGGAGCGTGGTTGAATCGAAAAGGCAAATTGTCGCATCGCGAAACATGATATCGAACAGAGTCGTCACCGAATTTTATTTCTTCTGAAAAAGGAAATAGAAAATATCGATAAAACGCTTAAAAGAAAAAAAAGATGGTCGTCACAACAAAATTCGGGTTCAGGAGTCAATTACGCAAGAGGGAGGTATTAACACCCCTCATGTCCGTTGTACTCAATGGGAACTTTTTAGTTAAATTTTTTATTGAATGTTAGCTTACGTCAATTGTTTTCTTCGAATGATCAAAAGTGCGAAAGGAAAATAAAAGGGGTCGCAAAAGTTTTTTATTAGGGTGCTTGACGAGATTGTGAGTCTCGCTCCTACGTATTCTCAAGTACAATGAGGAAATCAAAGCTTCATAGTTTGCTTCAAGATAAAATATATTTTTGGGTTTCTTATTATAGTGCTCGATGAGATGTTGAATCTCACTCTTATGTATCCTCATGTGCGATGGGGAACTCAAAGCTATGTAGTTCTTTGTAGCAAATAAGTGTTGGTTGGTTGATTTTAGTGAACGAATATTTAGGTCGCATTCTAGCAGTGAAACATTGGCTTGTATGCTCGCGCATGGGGGGCTTAAGTTGTTGGTTGTTTCGCGGAATAAAGGATCCTGTTTGATCACATTCTAGGTTAAATGTTACTTGTATGCTTGTGCATGAGAGCTTTAAGCACTTTGTATCAAGGTAGAGTGGTCTAAATAATGTTCGTTTCTGAAAATATTTTTGATTGTGCCAGGG